CAAATGCATCTTCACTTAGGTGATTCCGTTAGTCTTGCCAATGTAGTCACAATAAATGTACTGCCAATGATAATGACTTCAATTTATTTTCAAGTCATGATCTTAAGCATCATCATATGCCTGTTCCTTTGGTGTCTTATTTGTACCAAAATTGAATCAAATAAGCAAGTTGCGATTAGCTCTAATCTAAAATAAAACATGTAATTATATGTAATGAACCTTACTTTGCCACTATAAATATGTCAACTACTTGTTCGGTATTAAATACATAGAATTGACTCAATATAAGTCAAATTACGATGAATTTATAATTAAATACACAATCATAATATTAAAAACACCAATAACTCGCTAATAAGCCCTCTTTTACCATAATAAATATGTGAAACACTCTAATAATTATTAAATACATAAAATTGACCCAGTAAAGGGTCAAATAACAATAAATTTATCATTAAATACACTAATTATAGTATTAAAAAACTTAATTAAACCCTAATTAGTTGTATTTTACCACTGTAAATATGTCAAGCACACTAAGTGACATTAAATGCCTAAATTTGATCTAATATAGGTTAAATTACGATGAAATCATCATTAAATACACTAATCCCAATCATTATATAATTAATTACTTCCTAATTATTTTTCTTCATCGCTATAAACATGTCAAATATTCTAACAAGCATTAAAGACATTTAATTGACCAAATATGGATCAAATTCTGATTAAATACACTAAAAAAAACACTAATCACTGCATTAACATAGTTAATTAATTTCTAATTAGTCTACTTTCACTACTATAAACATGTCAAACACCTTAATAGGTATTAAAAAAATATTGAATTAACCTAATATAGGTCAAATTTCGACTAAATCATCATTAAAACCACTTATCACAGTACTAAAAAACTTAATTAAAACCTAATTAAACCTATTATGCTATCACAAACATGTAAATCACCTTAATATATATGAAATACAAATATTTGACCCATTAAGTGTCTAATTTTGAAAAAAGCACATTAAACACCCTAATCACAACATTAAAGGTCTTAATTTCTTCTTAATTGAAACTATTCTATTATCATAAAGACCTCAAACAACATATAAACATAGAGTAGGCTTAATCATCTCATAAATCATCAAAAATTAAGAAAAAAAAATATTCCTTTAATTATAGAGTTCTTCCTCTAACTTAGGTGTTAATCCTCCTTAATTAGCCTCCTAAGCTTGATCCAATCTGCAAATCGCACTTTTGTGGAGTTCAAGAGTGTGTAAATAAAAAAATAAGAGAAATATGTGAGTGAGAAAGTGACTGAGAGAGTAGATGAGTTAGAAAGAATGTAAGGGGAGAGAATGAGGGTTTAAAAACTCTTAGATCTGATTCAAATGGATCGTTTGGATTCAACAAATCCCAACCATTGATCGGTATTGGTCGAAATCCGATCATTACTGACTAGTATAGGTCAATAACGGTTGGATTTCGATCGTTCCAATCGGTAGAGACCTAGTGTCGAGTGATACAGGCCCCCCTGTTTTGGACTACTTGATATAGGGTGGTTTGCGTACCGATCCCTCGTCGGACCAGTACATATCGCTCATACCACCTGGTATAGGTCAGTACGATGAACCATGCTTTTGAATATAAAGTTTTTTTTTTGTGACTCAAAACTCTAGCCATAGTTATAAAGGAGCAAAATGCTCATCCTCTTTGAAAGTGTATCATTAAATATATTATTTATTGAATCATCAATAAGGTATATCTCTGATTGGCATTTTTGTGGTTGGTCTACTATTTGAGCAAATGATGTTTTTGATGATGAGAAGAGGGGAACATGGAGTTAAAAGAGTAGAGAAGATGACAACAAGAGAAGGAATAGAAGAAATAAAAATTTTACCTTTGAACTGGTTATTGTCAATGCCTTTAAAGCATATTGGATCCGTATTGATCCTTGGTTGGGCTGGTACGAATCTGGTATATACTAACTTGTCATTTTACAGTATGTTGTCATACTGGTTTGCATTGCTTTGGCCCGTCCAAACTAGATAGATAAAAAAAAAATCTTAGTTTTGGGTATCTATTCAATAGTTTTGTCCAAGGTCTTCAATTTCGAATAATACTGCCCGCTACTGAACGGTATATATATATATATATATATATATATATTTGTATATATATATATATATATATATATATATATATATAAACGATGTCGCCCTTTTTTTATGATGTTGCCCCGCGTGGGGAGAAGAGAGGCAACGTCACAGATTCTTATTTTTACTTATATATATATAGGCGATGTCGCCTTGGCAACGTCACCTCGTGTGGGGAGAAGAGACACGACGTCGCCGAAAAAGATTTTTTTTTATTTTTATATATATATATATATATATACTGAACGGTATACTGAAATATATCGTTCGATATACAGTATCGTATCGTGCGAATCTCGAAACTCCGGTACGGTACGATATTGCAATCCTTGGTTCTATCTAATTCGAGTCAATATTCAGTGAATTTATGAAGTATTTTTTATT